AAAAAAAAATAAATTTTAATTTTTTTTTTCCTTTTTTTTTATACAAATAATTTTTTTTTAATAAAATATTTTTTTTTTTGATGATGACAACACAATTAACATAAATTATTATTACATTAATAAATAAATTATTATCATAACTTTATTAATTTTTTTTTTTTCTTCGGAGTTAAATTATTTAAAATAAATTCATTTTTTATTCGTCGTCTGCTTTTCCACCTGAAAAAAAATGAATGAATGAATGAATGTGAGAGAAATAAAAAAAATTTTGAGGTCGGTGGTCACGACGAATCACGTCGGATTAAAAAAATAATTAAATTTTTTTTTTTTAAATTTCAAATGATAATAATAATATTACCTCCTCCTGTTGACCTTTTACCCCAACCTCCTTGAAGTTTTGCCCATTTACTATCAACGGATCTTTTACCCCATAAACCTTTTAAATTATGCCAAGCCGGATCTCTTTTACCCCAAGAACCTAAAAAAACAAAAAAATTAAAAATTTTCCCACAGATTTTCTCACCTGGAAAATTATCATCATAATTATTATTATCATCACATATACTCACCCCTAAAATTATTCCAATCTCTTTTACCCCATTGTCCTTTTAAATTATTCCAGGCTCTTTTAGTAGTATCATCGTTGTTGTTGATGTAATCATCATCATCCATAACGTCATCATCATCATCAAAATTATTATTATTATTATCTAAATCGTCGTATATATCGGATGATAATTGTTCGTCATTGTAATAATATCTGTTATCATTTCTTTTACCCCAACCGCCTCTAAATTGATTCCAGTCTCTTTTACCCCAAGAACCTCCTTTTAAATCGTTCCAGGCTCTTTTACTCCATGAATCCTATGGAAAAAAATTTTTTTTATTACGAGTAATTAATTATTATCATTATTATTATCTTCTCTGGATAATATGAAACGTTGAAAGTAACTGGAGATTTTTAAAATCGATCCTTCTTTTCCATCCACCGTATTATTTGACAAAAAAAACGTGAAAAAAAAAACAATTGCGAAATGATTGTTAAAAACCTTGATGAACCTTGATATTATTAATTTTATCCGAACGGTTATAATTAATTAAATTAATTTTTTTTGTGATGATGCAACAACAACAACAACAACCACAACCACGGCGATGATGATGATGATGATGATATCTTAAGGCTTTTGAATGTTGTGAAAACATTCATTAACTGATCGACACCATAGTAATCATCATCACCGATACGTTGTCGGTTTGTTTTTTTTTTTTTTTTTAATGCGAAACAACAACAACAACAACCCGAACCTGAATGTGCGATGTTTCGTAACAAACAGTTCGAATTTAATTATTTTTTTAAAAAATTATTACCGCCATTTTTTGTCCAAACCCGTTCGCCGATAACCCGACCGAGTTTTACAATAAAAATTTTTTTTTTTTTTCGTATTAAAAACGACGACGACGACGAAAAAAAAGAAGAAAGTTCTAGAAAGATTTTATTTTGATTCTCTTGTTAAAATAATAAAAAACGGGAGGGGGAAGGGGGGTGTAATTAATTTTTTTGTTACTCTTCTTTGTAAAATCGTTTCGAATTCGTTTGCTCGTTTTTTTGTTTGTTTGTATTCTTTTGATTAAAAAAAATAATTACAAGCAAATTTTTCTTAATGATCAAACAATTGTTTTAAAAAAAAAGGAAAACTCCCCCATGTTTATTTATAATTTATTTTGTCACTCGAATACGCGCACTCCCCCCACTCGAATTATACGATAACGCAAAAAAACAACAACAACAATCGAGTGTAAATAACCTACGATGCAAAACAGCAATAAAATTTACCCTAAATAAACCGCGCTTAAATCACATGACGTTTTTTTTGGGGGGATAGGGGAGAGGCGGGGTGGGGGGTAAT